CTGACTTATCAGCTTTCACAGAGGAAATTTGCAAAATAATAATGAATACATCTCTGCACATCAGGGCCTTTGTGGTTGGGCTGCTGACTCTCCTCTTTCAAGTGTCCATAAAGATCACCTTTCACAGGGACTGCAATAGAATGGAGATGCAAATAACAAAGAGAAAATAACCTGACGGTGTCTTTTTACCCTGTGAATGGATTGCCTACTCCTACTTATCACAGTGCTGCGGAAGAGTAGGAACCAGAGATACAGCAGAAAGACAGAGAAGAAAACAGATCTGTCAGACTCTTTTCCAATGTTGAAGTATTTATTCATTTTTCCTCAAGTACTAAACTCAAAAGGAGAAAATATAATGACTTGTAACCCACCCTATATTCCACCCCACCATAAAAACTCATGAGGCTCCATCATCTCTCTCTCTCTCTCTCTCTCTCTCTCTCTCTCTCTCTCTCACACACACACACACACACACACACACACACACACAGAGGCAAATTATGTTGCACTGAAGGTTAGTCCCTGCCCTCTAGTTGAGTGTCTTCAATTCAACCCCAACACAGAGAGGTGTATTTTAGCCACAATTATGTTATATGATGATGTTGGTGGTGATGATGGTGATAATGATGATATTATTATTTAAAGCAGCTAATACTTAGTAAGCATTTACTAGGCTCTAGTTCTAAGGATCTTATGCATGTTTACTCATTTAATGTTTACAACTACCCTCTAATATTGATAATTATTTCTCACCATTTTATAAAAGAGACAACATAAGCACAGAGAGAGGAAGTAATTCACTCAATGCCACACAGCTAAGAATTGTGGAGCAAGGATTTAACTGCAGGCAATTTAACTCCAGAACATGGGTTCTTAACTAGTTTGTTATCAAATAACCCACTGAGGAGTTAAATCATCCATTTAAAAGCATCTGAGGAATTTTGAAATGTTGTTCCAAATTACATCACTTAAGCTCAGTGGGGCTGTACTGTCATACCAGAAAATGAATTTCAGAGAGCTGAGTCCTACCAGCCTCTGTCTAGATAATGTTTGGAAACATTTATTTCATAATGAAGTCATTATATCATGATGAGGTCAGGAGTTTTATCCCACAAAGAAGAAAATTTAAGGAAATGGGAGAATATGGCATAATCAATGGGGGAACCAGAGAAAATAAAGAACTTACTTGGGGATTGGGATCCCACTTTTATGAAGGAATAAAAACCACTGAGGAAAGTTATGATCTGTGGTTTTTTAACTAGAGGCATCACTGGGATAAGAAGTCTCCAAACTAAAGTAACACAATAGTCATCATATCCTGTTCTCACTAATTGGGAAATTGATGCTCAGACAAAGGAGGCAGACGCACGAAGGCAGGTAATGACCGAAAAAGTGAAGCCAAATTGAGAAGCCGCTTTCCGTTCTGCACTCTCCTTGGCTCTTCGAAGAAGAGCAGTGATGAAATTCTAGGGCATTAGAGTCACACAGTCCCAGGTCCTCACCCTGGCTCTGTCAGTGATTCTCTAATGTGACCTTAGCAAATTACTTCAACTGTGTGCAAGGATGATCTTTATACGGAGCTCATGCTACTGTTTGATGGTTAAATGGGTGAGATAATGCATATAAAGTGCTTAAGACAAAACCTGGCACAAGGAAAGGATTCAGTAACCTTGGCCAAAAGAATCCTGGGGTGATTCTTGAATGTTCTCCTTCATACCTTATTCAGGTACCTACAACATGCACTTGACCATCACCAGGTCCAAGCCACTGCATCCTGTGATTAGATTATTGCAATAATCCCCTAACTGGTCTCTCGCTTCTTCCCTGTCCCCTTCAGACAATTATCAGAACAGTCAGCAAATTCTGTTAAAATATTAGAACACATCATCACTCCACTGCTCAAGACACTCCAGGAGTTTTCCATCTACAAAGATGGAAACCATCCCTTTTTTGCTGGTTTCAGGTCCTACGATTCTCCTTGTGACCGGGAGTCTCTCCCTGACCAAACTCAAGCCAGGCTCCTCTGAGCCCTTTCTCCACTAGGTCTCAGTGTTGCCTATAAAGATCTGAATAAACATCAACATGGCTTCTAACAGTTCAAGGCCACAGCCCTAGGATGACCCTCAACCCTTTAAAGTGCCTGCCCGAGAAAACTCAGGGCTGCCAGGAGACCACTGTTTGGTCCCGCCGGCACCTGAGGAGAGGGCCTCCATCTCCCAGCCTGTGTGGGAGGGGCAGAGCCTAACTTGGACAAGCTCCACTGAGCAAACCCTTCCGCTTTTGTGATTTCTCACTTCCCTGACTCCCTAGCCCTCCTCACTCTCCCTATACTCCTCTATACTCCTTATTCACCCTTTAAAATGCCCCAGTCTCCTCTCTAAAAACTGAAGTTGAGTTCAGTTCCCACTGGACTCTTCTCCCTATTGCAGGAGGATGTTCCTAATGAAAAACTGTCCCTGTCACTTTAATTAGTGTCCCGTTTTGTTTGTCTTTGACACCCACTGCCTTCCAGTCACCCAGGGCACCCAGCACACTAAGAGCGAGCCCTGTCTTAGGCTGTCTGACCTGCTCTTCCCACTGGAAAGTTCTTCCCAGGCGCAGTCGCATGGCTCCTGCCTTCCCCTCCCTAAGGGCTCTGCTAGGATGTTAACCACTCAGGGACACCCTGCCGGACACCCCATCACTGCCTTTTCCCCCACTGGCTTGGCTTTTTTCTCCCTCACACCCACCACCATCGGGCACACCATATGGTTCTCGTTTATTTAGTGCTGGTTTATCTCCCCTCTCTAGACTGCAGGCTCCATGAGAATGCGCATGTGTTCACAGTGATATGTGCAGTGCTATGCAACAGCGCCTAGCACACAGTAGGCCCTTCATAAGTGTTTTTCAGGTAAAAAGAGTTAAAAAACATTAGCATTTATTATTTCTCAATCAACATTATTACTTTTAAATGGTAGTAAGTCATGAACTGGCCAGTGAAGCAATTCAGCCAAAATAGGATGATAAATCTGAAGTGAGGACAAGAATACAGAATGGGCAGTAAAGAGGAAGACATCCATATTTTGCCCCAAAATCCATTTAAATGAATGCCTGAGGGGGAATAAGTAAGAAAGAAGAAACTGTTGCTTCTAAAACTGGTCTCTGCATTACAAAAAAACGAACCCCACATAACAGTAACTACAATGGAAAACATTTCAAGACATATCAGAAAATAGTTTTCTGTTGTTACTTTCACTTTCCCCATGTTTTCTGAAGTAGCTATTCTGACAAACTGCTGTTTTGCTATGTTTACAAGGGGCGATTTTGCTCTCCCCTCAGTCTCTAAATAAAAGTTCCAGAAAAGTTCCATCACAATGACCTCAAGATGGATGAAAAAATTCTTCCAACTTGTTTAGGTCATGTCAGCAATGAACTAAATAGAGTGGGCCCCCCTTATCTATGGGGGATACATTCTAAAACCCTCCATGAATGCCTGAAACAAAAGATGCTACTGAACTCTGAATCTACTATATTTTTCCAATACATACATACCTATGATTAAGTTGAATTTATGAATTAGTCAATTTCACAGATAGAAGATTTCGTCATACTATAGATTTTAGCAACCTCAGCACACTTTTTTTTTATTTCCTTATTAAGTCAAGATCTTTCACCTTTTTGCTTAAAGGAAGCACATTATGGCTTCTCTTCGGCACATCCGAGTTGCCAGCATTACAGCTTTTGCACTTTGGGACCCTTGTGAAGTAAAATCAGGCTCACCTGAGCACAGCATTCTGATGCCAAGACAGTGGACTGATGACCGAGATGGCTAAGTGACTAACAGGGGGGCAGGAGTACAATGTGGATAGAAACACTGGTCAGAGGTGCATGTGACAGAACAGAACAGTGCTGGACTGTGCAAGATTTCATCACGCTACTCAGAAAGGCACTCAACTTAAAACTTACGAATTGTTTATTTCTGGCATTTTTCCATGTAATGTTTCCAGACCGCAGTTGACTGCGAGTAACAGACCTCAGAAAGTGAAGCTGTGGATGAGGAGTGACTAATGTAACTGTGTCACATTGCAGGGGTTTTTTATTATTTGTTTTATGTTAGTTATCCCACAGGACAGCTTAGCACAGGTCAACAACAATGGGGAGAAGGTAGAAGCATTCTGCAATGAAGTAACAGAGCATCAGGTCACACTGACACCAGGAGGGTGAAGGGGTAACTTGTAGAAACACGACTTCCTGTCACAAGGAAGGCATTTCCCTATGGACCTGGAGATGAAGTCAGGGACCAGCGTGACTGAAGATGAATCCAACAGCAGTTCTATTTACTTATTCAAATCTAACCCATTATAGAAGTTTCTATTTCTCAAAGAACTGAAATCACCTTGCTTGAAAACTCTCTCCAACCTGAGGGGTCAGTGGCACATCCCGTGCACACGCTCTACCGCTCTCACACCTGTGGGATGACACATCCGCCTGCCACCCCGGCCCATGTGCACCACACCACCGATTTACTGCATGGGGGGTGCTGTCAGGCATAATGGGGAGCCATCGGAATAATGACATCAGCTGTCAGGTGTAAATGAGACAGCCACCTGCCCTCATCCTGTAACACGGAAGTTGAGTCAACACAGTCCTTAGAAGCTTCAGGCTCTGTCCTGTCATATATCTCGGCCTCAGGGATGAGAGAGCTCCCCTTAACCTGACAGGGGGCACCTGACCTCTCACCTGTCTCCAAGGCCCCTGTGGAACAACTAGCTCTGAGTCTAAAAATTCCATATCAAGGAAGCCCCATCCCTTTGCGGTCTAGAAACCCAGTCCCTCCAAAAGCCAGCATAGCACCTTCGAGAGGGGAGGAAAAGCTACCTGTCTCCTCGGGTCAGGGTGGCTCACCTTCTCACACCAGGGCCTGGATTACTGTGGTTCTCTCGGCTTCTAGTCGAGACTGCACAGTATCTGTGTCCCTGCTCTCCACGTGACAAGCTATTTATAACTGCGGACACCAGACTTGCACAGAGCAGTGTGACACTCCCGAAACGTTGGACTGCTATTTTAGCAACCTCCTAAATGAAGAGAGCCAACAGACAGACTGTCTGTGCCAGGTAGGGGAGTGAAAGGGAGAGGAAGACTGTGATTTGGGCTTGTGTGTTTTCTTTTTTTACCTGGGATGTCTTGTAGAATCTTAACGGGACTCTCTTCCTCAGTGCGCTGCCCCCACCAACCCTCCCCCAGCTGTCTTGATTAGTGGCTCTGCGTATGCGGGTCAGATCTGGGGATTAATGACGGCTAATTTGCCCGAGGTTGGTGCAGCCCAGGCAGCAGACTCTGCAGGACCAGCTTTTGCTGCCATATGGGCGGAAGCAGCTGTTTCAATTACTTTCAGTGCCCAGATGTGTCAGACGAGCCACCAGTCCTCTGTGGGGTACATCAGCCACACGGTGGCTAATTGCTTCCATCGCTGTGCAAGCGTGGTGCTGAGTACTGTGAGAGGGGGTTTTGGGGACAGCCGAGTGCCAGCTGTCATCACAGCTCACAAGGCTGGCAAACGGAGAGGCTGGGACTAAGATTTCAGCCTCCACGGCTGGCCCACGGGATACCCGAGCTGACGGTGTCTTTGTCAGGTGTGCACCACACAAGGGTGGACCCAGGCAGGTAACAGGCCCCTGTTTGGTGTGCCTCCCTCCTCACAGGCCATAATGTGCCAGGAGCCAATGGGATGCCGGGCTGTGCTCCATGGACACCAAAGAAGTCAAAACTGCGTGATTTCAGTCAACGTGCCATTCAAGCCGGTCATTTGAATCTGAAACTCCAAGGCCTGTTTTCAAAGGTTAGCATCCCCTCCTGCCACCCTGACAGTGAGCAATGAATCAACGTGTGCATGACGGTTTCCTGTGTATCGGATTGAGGCGAGAGGAAGGGGAAAGAAAGGCCAGCTACCACCCACTCCCCTGCACCCTCCATGGTTCTTGGGAAAAGAAATCAGAAGAAACAAATGTCAGGCAAAGATGTTAGAACCATGAGGAGAAAACCTGGGAGACATGGGAGGCTGTTATCATCATAATAATATATCTATTTGGGAAAAGAATCAACATTTGTTTTGTGCTAATTCTATGGTAATCAGGGTGATTGTGCTGTAGTTAGCTACTGCTTGTTCCCATGGTGATCCCAAGCGGTCTGGGGTTATTACTGGCTGAGAATAACCCACAGAGCTCAGTTTAAAACTATTCACCAGAAGCGTGAGTCTTCATTGCCACATCCCAACCATGTTGGAGCCCAAAAAAAGTTTGCTGTCTCTCCGTTTTGTATTACGTGGCACCTTCTCCGCACTATGAAATGGCCTGTTCCCTCCTTCACATGGCTTCTCTTCCAAAACCCTGTGTTGCTGTAGGTCGACAGTGTAATGAACAGAACTAAGCATTTTTCAGATTGATCTATTGATGACTATAGATGAATGCGACTTAGCAAAAACATTTAGTGAAGGAATGAATCCATGTGTTTAGGAACCGTGTGGGGTGGCTGGGCCCGGGGCCTCTGAGCCAAAGATCTCAGGCACAATTAACCAGCGTTTAAACCAGCGTTTCCACACAGCCCTCTCTAAGTGATGTTTGTGTTGACTCTTCCTTCATTCTAGAACATGATTACTGATTCCCCTTCTCAAGCAGGACACACAAAGCAAGTCACAATATACGACTCTTGTTATTATTATTGGTGGTGGTGGTGGTGGGGGGGGGGTGCTCATGCTCCTGTGTGTTCAAGTCGATAATTATCAAGAATTACATTTCATAAGAAAAACATCAACAGGAGGAGGCTGAGGACAAAGGAGCACTGACCAACATATTTGTGATCATTGAGTATGAGCCAAATAGCATCAGCTTTTCCTAAAATCAGAAAGATATCTGCTGCTGCCTAACAAACGGCTGTCAAACTTAATGGCACGAAACCACAATGACTTCCTGTTTCTTGCGTTGGTCTGGACATTTGGCTCCCCACACCACTCAGTGACGCCTCAGGGGGTGGCAACGCAGCTGACACTGAGCATGGCTGTAAGGCCTCCTGGCAGGCCCCCTGCACCCACCTGGGCCTGGTACCTAACTTTCTGCAGCCCCTGCCTCCCTCTACATGGTACCTGTCTCCAGGGCCTCTCCACAGGCTGCTCTCCAGCAGGGGAGACCAGGAGTCCTTGTTGACAACTGAATTCAAAAAAAACAAAGCCAGAATCACCTAAACTTAAGAGCTAGGCCTGGGGCTGTACCACAGGTCATAGGGTCACACCAAGTCCGAGGGCTAGTCCAAGTTCAAGGTGGGCGGAGAGCACTCCAGCCCCTCACAGGAGGATGGTCTGCAGGACAGACAGGGGGTGGCAGGGGGACTGTGGGGCCTGTTTTAAAGACCCCCCCAGTGTGTGTGTTCAGGGTGAGGGTACACAGACGGGATGAAGAGAGTCTATCTGAAACAATAAATTGGATCCTCCTTGTATTAATTTCATGCAATGTTTTTAAAAAAGAAAGCAAAGCAAACCAAAAAAAAAATCTGTTAATTCATAGAATTATCCTCTGCTTTGTTAGAGCACATGAAATATTGAAACAATGAAAAACAGAGCTTTTCTTCTTTTGAAATCTCTTTGGAAGGCTGTCAAGTGGTATTGATTAGGATATTGCCCATGCCTTTTGTCTGCCTTTCTGAACGGTATGAATTGAAAAGCATAATTTGCTCTATAAGAGAGGCCCAGGACTGTCACTCCTAGGTGCCCAGAGGAAGGAATGCCTCCACATAGTCTCATTTGTGTCTGGGCTCAGTCTTAGCAGATTTGAGCATGTGTATCGACGCTTTGGTGGCTGCTTCTTCCTCAAGGCACGCCAACAGTCTCCTGGGAAAATGCTGCCTCCGCCTGGCTGTGGAGTAAGCCATGGCTTAGGAGCGACCCCATTATCACAGTCACATGCATCCAGGGTGGGGTGCAATTATTTAGGTGAGTATCCCTCTGAGAAACTGTGCCCTTCGCCACAGCAGGGGAGGCAAAATTGGTACTGTCACCAGGCTCTGGACTAATTCAACTTGAAACTTTGAAACAGACAGAATGGAAAAGTAACCGCTGTGCATATTAGTGGTGTGTAGCCAAGGCTACACGATAGAATCACCTGGGAAGCATGAAAACAAACAAACAAAAAGTCAATTGCTGGGGTCCCATCATCCCAGCCCAATTAAATTAGGAACTCTGGGGGGTGGGCACCCAGTGCTGACAATGTTTGAAAGCTCTTCAGGTGAAATTAGAGGAAAGAATAATCAGCTTGTCCATCGTTTTCACTTTCGATAAAATAAAATTTTGTATTCAATAGATGGGTGTTCAAATGTCAGCACTCTTACTATTCATATAATAGATCACATTTATTGATTAATGACTCTGTGCAAGACACTTTCTTTAGATATATTGCTACAATTTAATCAGTATCTCTATGAATTAACTACTGGGGTCATTCCCATTTTCTAGATGAGGAAACCATGGCCATGAAAGGTTAGGTAACCTGTCAGTCACCAGAGAAGCAGTGATGCCAGATGTAGACACAGTGTTTACTCCACAGTGTACACTTATGTTTAAACTTTTTATTTTGAGAAAATTGAATATTGGCATGCAGTTATGCAGAAATAATAGAGATCACCTGTACTCTCCACCCACTTTTCCACTTTTCCATATTATGTCAGATCTTAAGTAGTATAGTAAAATATTCATAACCAAGAAATTGATACAATTCAACATCAGTAAAACCAACTGGCTATCTTCAGATGACACGTTTTACATACCCTCCTTTTTGTGTGTGTGTTAGTTTGTTGCACTATTATCACATGTACAAATATAGGAGACCACAATCAAGATACAGAATGGTTCTATCACAAAGGTCCCTTTATGCTGGCTTTTCCAGTGAATCTCCTGCCCCTCTCTCCGTGTTCCCTGACAACCACAGCCACTAAGCTCTTCTCTGTATCTCTGGGGTTTTTTTTTCCAATTCTAAAATGTTATACAAAGGGAATTATGCAGTAATGTAACCTTTTGGCACTGGTTGTCTTCACTCGGTACAGTTCCCTTGTGATTCATCCAAGTTGTCACATGTATCAATTGTTCCTTTTTATCGCTCAGTACTATTCCACCATCTGGATGCGCCAGTTTGTTGAACCACTTACATTGAAGAACATTTGAGCTGTTTCCAGGCTGGGGTGGTTGTGAATAAAGCTGCTATTAATATTAACGCACAGGCTTTTGTGTGACATGAGATTTCACTTCTCTGGGATAAATGCCCAAAGTGCAATTGCTAAGTCATATGGTGAACACATGTTTCCACATGGGACTGACAAACTCTTTGCCAGAATGATCGTACCATTTAATATTCTCACCAGCAATGTGTGAGTGATGCTGTTTTCTCCACGTCTTCACCAGCATTCAGTGTTATCATTTATGTTTAAATTTAGTCATTCTGATAGGTGCGTGGTATCATCTTACCTTAATTTGGATTTGCATTTTCCTAATACTAACTGTGTTAACCATCTTTTGCCAAGCTTATTTGAATGAATTGTCTTCAATGAATTGTCTGCTCATGTCTTTAGTGGATTTTCTAATTGGATTTTTTTTTTTAGTAGTTGACTTTTGCGTTCTTTATATATGCTCAATATAAATCCTTTGTTGGATATGTGATTTGGAAATACTTTCTCCCAGTCTGTAGTTTGTCTTTCCTTCTTTTTCACAGGGCAGACATTTTTAATTCTGATGAGTCCAATTTACCCACATCTCCTTTTATGAGTCCTGCTGTTGGTGTGTGTCACTGCTCAGCATAAACTTTAAGGTGTGACTTTGCTCAGACTACTCAAATAAATTCTCTAGGTTTCAGATCCTTGATCTGCAGATTTTGGATAAGAGGATCTAGGTTATAGGTGAGAGTGAGGTTCAATTAAATAATTATACATAAAGTGCATGGTATGGTGCTTGGGACATTAGTTGCTATGAGTAAATGGCAGCTGTTGTTAGAAAGATTATTCTGGGACAGAACATGCTAGAGAATGTCTTCCCCTCATCCTATCCACATCATAGTCTCATTCATCGTATTTGTAACATGCTTTTCAATTCATCCAGCTCCTTCATTCATTGATTTGAGCCTCAGAACAACCCTAAATAATTTTTCTTATTATCTAGATGAGGACATGGAGGCACCGAGTGCTTAAGGCACTTGCTCATGTTCGCTCCAATCCTTGGTCTCAGATGCATGGTGCATACCTGGTTCCCATGACCCAGAGATGACACTGGCATCACAGCGCACATTCTCTCCTTTGAGCCCCTTTGGAACTGAATAATTAACTGCATTTAACAGAGAATATTGTCAATTCCAAAGGCCAAGTGATGGGATATGACCTTTCTCTCTAACTCTACCTCTGGCCCAAATGAACACCACGAAACCAACTAATCCTGTGTTTACCATCTGACAACTCCCACCTCTAGGAGAAATTGCCTGATTTCTTTTTAAATCTTTTTTTTTTTTTTTAAGTTCTAGGCAAAGACTCTGTTGACCTGACTTATCTGTGCAGCTTTATTCAGGAGCTTTCCCCGGGATCAATTGACTACGGCTAGAAGAGCACTGCCCTGCATACGTGTCTACAACACATGTCAGTAGGTCAGGGGATTTGAAGACCCACAAGGAGAGGGATAATGGACCTGGAAAAGGTGAGACTGTAAAGAAATTAACTAATTAATCAGTTAAGTTAAAACATTTCTACTTCCCTATAGAGATGGGTCTTTCTTCCCATATATATCATTTACAAGGTCCTGGGCTGCTCTAACATGACTTTGACACGATATGTAAGAGTGTTTCCCTTCTTTTCAAGCACTGGACCACTTCTGTTACTATCATGTAGACCACAAATGCATTGATCTCCAGTCCTCCCAAATAGGAACCATCTAAAGGCAAAAGAGTTAGTTTGTCCCCAGGCAATTTCAGAGGCTCCACCTTTCCTCTCAGAAGTATTTCTATTCTGTGTACAGCTTAGTAACAGTCCATCTACATCTAGCCTTTTATGCATCAGCAACGTATCATCTAAATTTTAAATTAAGCTCAGAACATTTGATATACAATGGTAAAGGAAAAACAGAAACAACTTCAGCAAAACTCTCATTTAAAAAAGAAAAGAAAAAAGTAGAAGCAGCAAACGGTGCTCACGATTATACTGTATGGTATTTCTTTCCATTCAGGAATGAAAAGAGAAAAATGGTGTTTGAAAAAGCCTTTGGGTATCCATTAGTTGATGTACGTTCTTGATAATGAAGTAAATGCTCTCCTCAGCCAATCTGGCTTCCCACCCTTTGCCCACTGTGGTACTTTCTTCATTAAATATCTCTCATAGGCAGACACCAAAATGAGAATAGGGACAGTTGTCCTGCAAGGTGTGTCCTCTCTTAGCACTGCATTTACAGTTAGTGTGAGTGCCTGGGTCTAGGATAGACTTAAGGAATGGTTTAAAGTGGCACCCCAAGACTACCAGCATCCGAATCCATGCAGGCTAAAATTTATAAAAATGTAGATTATAGGGTCTTAACCCAGGCCTATGAAATTTTTAGGCATGGTACTTAGCAATTCACGTTTTAATGTGATCCCTGGTTAATTCCGTAAAATCTGAATGCTGCGGCTATTGGGGTTCATCAGTCCAAGTTCTTGTGATTAAATCTTAATCATTTCCATATCTATGTGAAACTGCTCTAAGTTTGCCAATAATCAACTATATAAACACATACATGGCCGAGCCATGCCTTTGAATCCAGATTTGCACTTCAGTTTCTTTGTCCCAGATTTAGAGACTCTGCTTCAGGGTACCACTGAGAAAAAGCACCACAGGCTACCCTATGGAGATCTGGTCCAGTCTAACAAGAGTCTGAAGAGTCCACAGGAGTCAGGAAGTTTATGGGACTCGGCACTTGTGTGAGGGATGGTGAGTGCCATTTTCTGTGATTCTTCTGGAATATCCCTCTTCAAAATGAAGGATTCCCAGATTCCACATCTGTGCTCTAACATGAGGGTAGGACAAAAAATTATCGATCTGCTACAAAGACCATGAACTACACACAGGAAGTGCTTTCCTCCATTCAAATATCATGGGTGTTTTTGTTTGTTTTGTTTTGTTTTTTTTAAAGATTTTTATTGGGGAATTGGGGGAAGGGGAACAGACAAGTTGCTGTCTTTTTGTTCTTCAGTCTAGTTGTGGAGGACGTTGCTTCACTGGCCCAAGTTGGCACCATCATTGTGCTCTTCCCGGGCGAGGCACATCAGTCGCCGGCTTCTGGACTGCCGCTAACACTGGCTGCTGGCTACACACAGTAGCCCATGGCAACCCACTGCAGCAGGGGCTGCAGCCTACGCCGTCACTGGCGACTCACGGCAGCCCAGCTCCAGGTTGAGCTGTTGTTCAGCATCTTAGCTATAGAGGGCAGTGTCACTGGCCCTCATATGTGGGATCCGAACCAGGGCCCTCTGGCATCCCAAGCCAGTTCTTAACCAATGCGCCACTCAGCCGGCCCTCATGTTTTGATAACAAAAAAACGTCTAATACTTGCAAGTAATGCTGACAAATAAAAGGGATGGAGTGGTCTTTATGATTGAGTTAGGGAATCATCTAACAATCAGCTGAGGATCATCTGGCCATTGGCTGTTGATTAGGGTCTGGATCTCTTGTAGTAAAGACTGATATTGATTTGGACAGAGCTGATAAACTGGAAATAATTTTTGTTCAATTGCAACACAAATGATTGTTCAGTGGTAAGACAAATGGTTTCTGCCTTGCAACGGTAACAATACCTTCTGTTCATTAAAAAGATGACCATAAAGGTTATTACTCCGTAGGATACCAACCATGGTTATCTGCCTTAGCAATGCTATGTCCTATATTTTTTTTCCATTCACTAACTACATATGTCTCATTTTCTCGTGTCCTTCTCTGAAGGTAAGACACTTTGACCATGATCACAATGTATTTGAATGAAAACTACTGACATCAGCCTTGCTCTTCACTATTTGCTTTCAAATAAGCCCGTTTTTCTGGAGTTTTTTTGCAGGACTTTCTTAGATGCCAGGAGTAGCTAGCATACTCAGTATCTCCACATTTTTATACCAAGTTGCCTAAAGCTACAGACTCTGTGGGCATATGGTCTGAGTCCCAAGGGACTACGGGCAATAGTTGAACCAACTGCTTAGCTATAGTGTAATGAAGACAAAGCTAACTCCCCAGCATGAAACAGAAGGATTCTTACTGCATCCCAGCCCACCTGACCTTAGCAAATTTCATGAGACACTCTGTCATTTAACCTGTGCCACTTTGGTCTTAGACGGGACTCTAATGCTTATCATTGAGAGAAACCCAACTACAGCCATATTAAGAAACTGGCTCATGAAAATCAAATGTTGACTCTACCAACAGTGGGTCATGGCTTAATTTTTGGAACAATTAGGAAGAGACACTGGTAATAACCACTGTTTCTCTCTCTCTCTCTCTCTCTCTCACACACACACACACACACACACACACACACACACACACCTCTGTTCCTCTGGCATGTCACCATCTTCTCACTTTCTGTAGACAAGCTTTCTCCATAAGGTGGCTGCCAGCAGTGGCCACTTTTTATAAGTCTTATAATTCCTCCCATCAGAGAAGGATGACCTCTCCCTTAAAGTTCCAGTTTCAAAAACAAAGAAAGAAAACCAGAGGAGGACTATATTTGGCCTGGGTCAGGCTCCCACCCCTGTCTAAATCGAATGTGACAAAGGTCATGAAGTCACACATGCAAACACCAGCTCTCAGTAACCTCCTAGCTGGAATGTGGGGTCAGTCACTCTTAGGAAAGCCACAGGCAGAGCGGAGAAAACAAGAGGCGTCCACTGCAGGAGGTGTCCCTGAGAAGAGGGGTCACCCAGGGTCTGGGAGATTGAAGAAGCTGAGGGGATTCAGCCAGGGGTGGGGGTGGGGGGTCAAGCTCCATGAGGGGAACAAGGGCTCTGCAATGAGGAGTTTGAGGTCCCAGCCTCAGCTTTCCCACAGCTCGGGGCACGCGAGGCAGCTGCTTCTCTGAACCTTCCTTTCTGCGTCTGGAAGTGTCACTAACGATCTCTCCCAGGCAGTGCTCCTGACAGAATTCAGGAGACAATTCAGGTAACACATCAAGCATGTGCCTCACATGGCTTGTGTTCACTAAATAGAAGAGGTTATTTCATCTAGAAAAGAAGAAGCTTAGGGAGGGAGGCATGACAACTACCTTTACATTTTTAAAAGCCTGTCATAGGAACACGGGCTTCCGCTCCTGTGTACTCTGGAGTGTAGCGCTCTGTCAAGAAGTTACAAGACAGTGAGTTTTACTCAAAAAAAAAAAAAAAAGCAGAAGAGGAAGAAAAAAAGAAAAAAGAAAGAAAGAACAGGTTGAAAGCATAAATGGGACTGGGGAGAGCTGAGTCAATTTCTTCAAAGATTTTTTTCAAGCAAACCTTGGCTGTCTCCATCCCAGGGACAACGTGAGGAATTTGTGAGTCATTTGAAGGTGTCACCTTAGAGGGCATGCCTTGCATCTCTGCAGGGCCGTACTTCTGTCGCCAGGGAGTGAAGGGCATTGTAGCCCCAAAGCCTGAGGGGACGCCTCCAAATCCTGGCAACGCAGGGCACCCACATGTGTCCCCATCCAATCCACACACACCCTGCCAAGGGAAGTCTAGTAACCACCTCTGCCGCTCAGGGCTGTTTTTAAGTTATAATTTATATCTCTGTTGTGTCCAGAGAGTCACAGTCTACCTTACAAGCTAAAATGAAGGTGCACTGTTTAGAAACAAATCGGCCACATTCTTCCCTGCCCAAGATCAGTCCTCATCCCAAGGCATTATAGGTTTCATTCAAACTCCCATCTCCCAGGTTATTAGTAATATTAGGCACCTTTTGTAATGTGCGTTAATGAAAAGGATTTCCCGGAAAACTAGGTAGGTGTGCATTTCCTCCAGAGGTCTGGGGTGAGGAGTGAAAGTGTGCAGGGAACTGGAAGCAGAGTGTGGTGACAGGCTCAGAGGCCAGGGGCCTGGAACGTGCTGAGAGGGGGACCCTGGCAATGCCTGCCCTTCCAGGGGAACCTAATCACATGCCCTTTTCCAGCTTTCTTCTACTAGATCCAGTGTTTGGAGCTAATCAGCTCACCCCTAGCATATTTTCCTTGACCTCCAACCTGCTTTCTCAGTGATCCTTACTTGGGGGGTGGAGGGGAGTCAGCAGAAAGCACAGGGGACCTCAGCATCCCATCTGGGTTCTCTTGCAGTTGGGAGTGTAGAATATGATGGGGACTACACCCCACTTTTAGGAACACGTATCAATGCCAGCATCCCACGATGACACTTTAGGACTCCGTAATACTGCACGTAATCCTCATGTGCAGTCACTCCTGGCTGCCTAGTTCCTGTGTTGCTATGGCCAGAGGGAACAATTGTGTGTGTGCATGTGTTTCTTTTTTGTAAAGAACAACTAAAAGGTATAGTATTTCTTTTCTTCTTTTTTTTTTTTTAGCTGAGCCATCCTGCCACCTGTTGGCAGCTCAGCGGCAGCTCAGCTCGGGCCAGGAATCGAACTGCTGTTGCTCAGAGCTCAAACTCTTGAGCGAGCTCTTAACCAACTGAGCCACTCGGCCGGCCCAAGGTATAGTATTTCTAAGGTCTTCCAGTTCCGAATGAGTTTATTCTTTGTGAGCTCATCCTACAATTTTCTAGCTTTTGCCTCTAGCTCACTGACCAGTGGTCAGGTGACAGAACTGCTGTGTATCTTGATTAAGGTGGTGGTCACACCAATCTACATGGATAATAAAATTGCAGTGAACTAAGGGTCAGCCGAGTGGCTCAGTTGATTAAAAGCTCGCTCAAGGGTTTGAGCTCTGAGCAACAGGGGTTCGAGTCCAGCCCAAGCTGAGCTGCTGCTGAGCTGCCAACAGGTGGCAAGAAGATGGCTCAGCTAAAAAAAAAAAAATTGCAGTGAACTAAACACACACACACACACACACACACACAGACACACACACACGGTGAGTGCCTGTGAAACTGGGGAAATCTATCGGTAGGTTATAACGAAGTCCATAACCTGGTTGCCCTATTGTACTGTACTTATGCCAGACATTACCAGGGGGAAAACTGGGTGCAGGGTATATCGGATGTCTCTGTATTTTTGCTGATACCCACACGTGAATCTACAAATTATTTTTAGAGTAAAACATTTACAATGCATCAAGATATGAGTACTGGCGGTGCGTGAGCCGGCAGGTGCTTCACAAGTATATTGACAATGTCCAGGCCTGCCACCTGGCTATCTTCCTCCTCAGACCCAAACCCCCCCTCGTGGAGAATCGGTGTGTTCTGTTCACCCCGCCTGGGATCCCTCTTCCAAAGTCCAATGCCCCATGAGTCTCCCGCAGGAACTTCTCGAGGTGCTGAGAGAAACGACAGGGGCAAATAGTTCAGTGTCAGTATTTGAGCTTTGGTCACCCATTTTAGACTTCCTGCCGGGAAGAGGGGGACCCTGTGGCATATCACAGGGTATCGCTGTTATCAAAACTGTTCTATCAATGTCGATTTTGGAAAGGAAAAGTTCCTGAGTATGTATTCTCTCTCCCAGAATGTTCCTTACCCCTCCCACACTCGCCTCTCCTTCCCAGCAGCCCTCAAGAGCGTAAGGGATGCACAGACAGCATTAAGGCAAACACACATTCTCTTGTTCTACATGCGGCCATGAGAGCAGTGGCATGGCTTATGCCAGACACAGAGGGCCTCAGGAAACCAAGTGGGATGGCTCTCAGACTATAATGATCATCATCATAATTTGGGATTGCTCAGAATAGCTGCCAGCTTCCCAGCTGAAAAGCAAGCCAAAGCTCTATAACACCAGTTCAGACTTCCAACAGCTCCTCTAGACCTGAACAAAGGGGGTTTGTTCTGCCACTCTCCAAACTGACAACCAAAAAGCTGCATTTACCTGGCTGCCATCATCCAGTATGATCACGGCCCCAGGCCCTCTGAACTATTTGCCAAAGCCCCATCTGAGGTTAGGCCTTTTCTGGGCAAGGTTCCTGCCTTGTTTCTGACCTCCCTTCAATTTTCCAAAGGTTATCTCTCCGGCAAGGCCCTGGATGGCTTCACAACTTAAGAGTCTGGGCCGATTTAACCCCATTCCAAGAGAGGTACCTGTTCTTCCTCCCTTGCCTGTTCTTGTCCCTTGCCCTTGTCCCAGGAGTACTTTTTTCCTTATATGATTAGCAATGGGAACAGCCATTCCCTTTAAAGTAAGCACGGCCCCTACAAGTTGTCCTAAAGTCTGTTAGGTCATTGAGCCATGGTGCTGTGTTTGCCGACTTTCAGGATCAAAATCATTTCAACAGGTAGATGGGGTGATGTGAGCAAAATTGCAGGTAAGGAGAGCTGCTTGGCTCAGATACATGAATGTGTACACAGGACTGCAAAGAGATGAAACTTCCCAAAGGCAGTTTGGGGGCACAGTTGGAGGATTTTGAATGCCATGCTGAGGAGCTGGGGCCTTTAGCTCTCCTGGAAAATATGCAAAAGAAAAACTGGGCAGTTGTGAAGAGCCCCCTGCCTTATGATGCTGCCATTGCCAGAGCCCAGCTGGCAGAACCAGTACCTTTTAATCAGTATAGATAAATGGGCCTCAATCATGTCTGTGTTTCTTGATTTAGATATACGTGAGCCTGACTGTTAGAAAACAATGTGGCCTTGAGGAGAAGCTTACACCAAGGACGGAATGACAAGTAGGGGGAACTCATGCTCCAAGAGTAGGGATATGATTTAACAAAAAAACCTGTCAAGCTTCCTGAAAACCAGGTGGTAAAGGGAGATTGTCAGTAAAAAGGATTCAGATGACAGGAGAACCCTTTCTAGTGTTGGTGCCTGGGGATGGGGAGGGACTGGCTTTGCTGGCGAGTGAGAGCTTTGACCATATGGGGCCATCGCTCCCAGGGTCTCCAGACAGCTCATATAATGTCATTCTCATCAGTACAGGTTGTTAATCAAATGTTTGATGGAATTTTATTTTAAATGTCTTTAGAAAATGTCTCAGATAAATAAACTTACAAACTACGGGAGGGGAATCCACCTTGTTAGGCCATGGGTGGCTGAGGTGGATTTGGCAATTGCAGACACCTTGCTGTCATCGCAAGGGGCACAGTGTCACTGTGATGGTAAACCAAATGACACAGGTGAGGGGACTTTATCAACAGAACCCTCTGTAGAATAACGTGGATTAGAGTTCAATCATACATTTGTTTATTTGTTGGAACAAAATATATTCAGTGCCTCTCCTGTGCTATACGCCCTGGAGCTACTTCAACAAACAGAACAAACGCCATCTCTGCACACACTGAGCTTCCGGCCTCGGATGAGAAGGAGCAGAGGACATGTCAACAAGCAGTGACAGTCAAGTGAGTGTCACAACAAGAGGACAACATCCCAAAGGATCGCACAGCGGCACCTGCACAAGGCAGGGTTTTCAGGGGAAGCAGCATCTAAACTTGAAACTGAGGTTAGCCTGGTAGGCAGAGTCCACAAGACAGAACAGGGGTCCAGAGAATGGAAGGAGGTGTCAGTGCCCAGTGCATTTCAGCAGGGAAAGCCGGGGTGGGCAAAGGAAGGGAGAAGGGGGTGGAGGAGACGTGAGGACAAATCAGACGGGCATTGGGGAGTCATGGTGAGACAGGAATGAGGTTTGGGCTCTTTCCCTTTATTTGACATGCTTTTGGGGCAGAAACTCTTGCATATTACACGTGGCGTTATTCTTTGCTCTATAATGAATAAATTATAAAGGGCATTTTTGTGTCTCTCGTGAGCTTACATTGCTTAAATTTTTTAGTCCTTAGTATGCACAAGTGAATTTCCCTGTGTCTGTGGTAGGTCCCAAAAAGTACTTCACTGCGTTTTCTTGAAATTGACTCTTCTCTGAAAAGGTAAAATATGTGCCCACGGGATTCCTAGAGCTTGGCCTACCATTTCCTTTTCTTATTTTAAATTTTTGATTCACTTAGTTCTAAAATGCTGTTTCATGAAATCATGTGTTCACTGATGAAAGCTGAATTGTGATGCCAATGGGCTATGTGATTAGATACTGTGCACTATAATAAAATGCATATTTACACTAGTATAATAAAATTATAGATTACTAATATTTTTAGGTCAATTGTGTTTTTCCCACTTCGAATGCAACAGAGGAGTTCCTCAGACTGTGGAACTTTGAAACTTGGCCACTCCATGGCCTCAGAGACAGTGTAGTGTGGTGAAGAGTTTAAAGCACGAACACTGACACAAGTTTGGATTCTGCCTTTGCTGTGTGGTGCTAGACCAGATGCGTACCCTCTCTGTTCTCCAGGGTTCTCAGGGAGAAAACAGTAGCATCTCCTGGGTTACTGTAAGAATCACATGAGACAATGATGTCAAGTCATCCAAAGACAGCCCGGAAGGGAGTAAACGCTCAAGGTGTGTTGATTATTGATACTTTTTATTAATGATTATTTCTTGACCATGCTTACATAGCCTTATACTAGAGGATAACATTTTTCTAATGAGCAAATTTCTGGTGATTAAAGCTTAACACGTTGAACAGCCAAACATACCCATTTTTTAATATTTTGGGATGGAACTCTTGCTAACTGAAAAATCCATTTATTAACACATGTCAAAATAACTGCAATTGCCTCTAGGAATCATAAAACCATTATATTGAATATCAATTTATCATTAAGCTTCAACAGTAGTATCCTCAGGAAACAACAGTTTACCTTTACACTATATGGCCCTAAAAAAGTCCTTTTCTCTAATTGTCACGTTTCTAAAATGTTATTGCTGTTTTTTCTTTCTTTTGTTTTGTTATTTTAAATCTCTTACTGCCAGAATATCAGCTGGTGATCCATGTGGCTGTGGGTTTCTGTGCCTTCACTCACCCCACAAAAACTTCTATTTTGATTGTTACTACACTGTGAATTAGAAAACCAGGGACATAAGCTTGCTGTGTATTGGAAGTATAATGAGGATTTCAAGGAAAACCTTTGCAATGAGTCAGGTCTATGGCTTTTGTGCTCCAATTTTTATGGCTCCTACTCCCGTCCCCCCAAATTCCCACCAGTACAATTTCTCTTTTAAAGGATTTCAAAGTGGAAGAACGTGTTTCACTTATAATTAAAGAACAGCCGGCCCTCTTTCACTCTAAGGAAAGTCTAAGACTTCGCGTGCTCAGAAAAATAATGACAATCAGCGTCATCCGCTTACCCCATATGAATCTAACATGGACTTTAGGACTTGGAGATGTCTACAATGTTTACGCTAAATTTTGAAGTCTCACTTAGAAGTGGAATAGCCATTTCCGTATGATGACTTATGTAAGTGCATTCATAAAAAGGAAGCCATTTTGCCTGTTTTGTCAGAAACCAAATACTACATTTGCACACACAAATGTAACACCAAAAACATTCTCCTAAGTTTTTCTTCCGTCTGTCTGCTGAAGTATGTGGGCTCCATTTGAGTCTTCAAAGTGAGAGATCAGAGGTAACATTAATGTACATAACCGTCCCCATCTCCAAGAAAAGACCTGTCTTTCTAAAAGAGTGATTTTTATGGCCAGTTTGATAAGGCACAAGGAGGTCACTCAGCGGAGTGTTGCTGGTGACTCCAGGTCGTCCGTTTTGCTGTCTGCCCAAATGGCCGGTCACTTGATGTCACGTCGGCTTGCACCTGTCCTAATAGCGACAGCCGGCGGACAATGTGTTTTAAATGGGTTACTTGTTCCTAGGGCTGGTCTAATAGCAATAACCGCAGAAGTAATAAATTGCCAAGTTGGGTGTTTAAAGGTTTGGTGTAGAGGTCACACTTTCATGTTAACTCCACTGATTAAAAAGGGAGGCTGCTCAAACACTGTTTCTGCTTTCAGAATCTGAAAAGACAATTAAGTCCATGGAGGGATCGCCAAAATTCCAGAAGAGAGCTGGAGTCATGGGGTACTGTTTCAGCTACTAGCACTTTCTTGTAACAACAACCAAAGAAACCCTCAATTCAAATAAAATTTAGCTAAATAAGCCTTGAGGAGGGAGTTAGAGAGGTAAAGAAATAGAGCCAAAAGCCCAGGTCAGAAGTATGAGGGAGAGTCTTAAAGGACTGGGCAGGAAGTGAGGTCTGGGCAGATAGTGGGCTCAGAGACCACGGGTCAGACTGAGGTCAGAGTGATTCAATTATTCACTTCATTCATTCACTTGTTCACGGCGCATCTATCGTGAGTGAGACACTGTGCGCTGTGTTGAAGAAACTGAGACATATAATATCAGTCTTTGCTCTGAAGAGATAGATACAGTATACTAGGCCGATAGATAAATTAGAAAAGAAGAAAACGAGACGGGAAATGGAGAGGACCATTGGAGGACCAGAGGCCAAGCCAGTGAGACCCAGGGGCCACAGGTATTGCAGAGGCTAAGCAAAAAACGTGAGTAAAAGTGGAGATTTTTGATGAATCTAACACCAAGGCAAGGATAAGTGATGGAAAATATCTGTAAGCTCTGGAAGGAAAAATTAAATAAAAAATTATTTTTAAAAATGTTGGCTTATATATGGCCGTTCGTTTATACCAGGCACTAAGAAGTTACAAATAGAAGCGCAATGAATCTCGCCGGCACCTGGTCACCGTGTGTACCCGCTAACCATCTGGCTACCCTGAAGGAAGGCAGCCCTCTCAGTGTCTGCGTCCTGGTACCTCACCTGGGCCTGGTGGAACCAGCATCGGTCTGCTGTATGGACCCTGCATAGCACCTGACGCCAGCATCAACTTCAGGGGCCTAAGCACACGTCGGCTTAGAGAGTCAGCCCCACACAGACTGTCCTGTTTTCTGTTTGAGCAGAAGCCAATCTCAGCCCCTGCTGACCCAAAGCCTACAAGTCAAATCAAAAACAGGAGTAACTGGAAAGTGCAGGGTCCGCTTCCACGTGAGCTCCTGAGTTCGTTATCCTCCCCAGTTGCAAGGTTTAGAGCAGTCTACTCAGGCTTCTGCGTCCATTTAATAGATTCATCCTATAACTCCCAGTGCCGGCCGCTGTTCTCCACGCTGAAACTACAGCAGAAAACTAGCACACAGGGCCTTTGAATGCTAATCAAGTGAGCAAGTTAATTACAGATTGTCACTAGTGTTATTAAGACAAGTTGGGACATAGAGTAATGGGGGGGGGGCAATTCAGGTCTCCCTGAGAATATGGCATTTGGGCAAAGACTTGAAGATTAAGAAGGATCCAGCCATTCAGCAGAGCTGGGGAGGGAAGGGAATTCCTCGCAGAGGGAAGGGCGGGTGTAACGGCCCCTAAGTGGGAAAGGCTCCGCCATGTTCACAGAACAGATGGAACAAGGGGCAGCAACATGGGGTGTGGGCGAGGGGCAGAAAGGGCCAGACCTAGTGTCCAGGCAGAGAGCTTAGAGACTGTTCTAAAATAAATGAGAAACCTTGGGAGGTTTCAGAGCAGGGGATCATTGATGTTTGAAAAAACGTGTCCTAAATTCTATGTGGAAGATGGATTGGAGAGCACCACAGAGTCTAGGAAGGAAGAGGACAGAGGAAGCAGAGATGAGAAACTCATGGGTACTATCAATGCAGATAAAAATTGGCAGTGCATCGTAGTTGGCTGAAAAGGGGGGGGAAAGGAGGACTCTGGGATGGTGCCTACAGTGCTGTTTTGAGCAATAAACAGAGTGGAAATGGCACCATGTGTTAAGATGGGGAATACTAAGGAAAGACAAGGAGTGAGGGAGTAAGTCGAAACTTAAAACTTTGACAACCAATAAATAAGGTATTTCACCTAATGGAAAACTGACTCCCAAGTCAGGGCTTGCTCTGCTCAAAGTTTAATATGAAGTTGATTCTAGTCATCAATAAATACGATACAGTGAGTTAGATATTTGATAAGATGACAAAAAATATATTTTAATAAAAAACCCTCTAAATATCCTGAAGTCAGGCATAGTGACTGATTCATACTAGATGTTCAGTAAATCTTTGTTGAAATAAATCCAAATGAAAGTCAAGAGGTGGAAAAAAAACTCAAGTTGGGAATAATAAGGTTCTTTCTAGGCTCTGCCAACTCCCAATAGAGTGACTTCGGGGGAGTTAAAACTCTCTGAATTTTGATATTCTCATATATGGAGTGAGGATCATAACAGAACATCATCATGGCTAAACAACATATTGTGCAGAAGCAGCTGCACAGACGAGACCCTCAGTCCCTGTACCCCTCCCTTCAGCTTCAGCTATGTTTGCTCCCAAGTTTGAGTCTGTAAGCATTTTTGGGACAATCTCTACATCTACTTAGATTAAATTTGTTTTAGCATCTAAGACAGCATTATGCATGGAGAAGAAATTCTATTCCTCTTTGCTGATTAACAGATTCCTTTAATTAAACAGAAATGCCCAGAAAGGACACAGACTTAGCACAATGGATCCTCGTCTATGGATTCTGTCCCTCATCTTTGTTCTGAGTGTCCCCCTCTGCTCTCTTCTTATTGACAGACAGCCAAAGAATGAAAACTTCCCTTTCAATAAATTGTGAGCAAAGTGTAATGATTCTCTTCCAGCATCACAAAACCCATAGGCAGCTGTAAAATATCATTCCCTTTAAGCTTTTTGACAGACTTGATATAAATTTCAGTGCACAGGGGGAAAAAAAGCAGGGGCCACTTTAAAAGATAAATTTCGTCATATATGTCTGACCATGGTGTATATGTTCAAATGTCCCCCACTTTTTTAAGAGAGAAAAAATGGGCGATGCTTTTAAACAATCAAAGGTTAAAGTTAGCTCTGTCATTCATGTGGTTTCATTTCATTTCATTCTCTTGTGCATATTGAAATACCTCAGGAAGATTTATAACCCTGGTTCATACAGTCAGAGTTCCAGTAAACGAGTCCCGTTTTTGAAGGTTAAATATTTATGCTCCTATTATATTTTCCTACGTTAACCACAGAGCCATGGTGACAGGCCAGGTTAGGACAAGAAATGGCAGTTGGCCCAACATCCAGAGCCTCTTCTGCTCCTATAT